AATAATTTTAGCTTTACTCTCATTAGAATAACAGAGAAATAGAGCTCTAAGGTGAGACAAGCCATGTCTTCTTCAACTCCCTAAGTCTAATCTCACCATCTCTCTCTCTACACTTTTTTTTTACCCCTAAATTCAGTTTCAGTATCTCCAATTCTTTATTCTCAATTTGATTTTTCTTTTTCTTCATCTACCCACTCGAATAAAAATCGCATCAATTACCCCTTTTTTTCTGGGGTATATATTCCCTTTTGTTCAAGTTTTTTTTTTTGGAGAAGATGATGAATCCGAGTCACGGAAGAGGACTCGGATCGGGTGGTGGGTCGAGTTCCGGTAGGAATCAAGGTGGTGGTGAGACCGTAGTTGAGATGTTTCCGTCGGGTCTTCGAGTTCTTGTCGTTGACGATGACCCAACTTGTCTAATGATCTTAGAGAGGATGCTTAGGACTTGTCTTTACGAAGGTTCGAATTCAAGATCTTCTCTTTTCTCTTTCTTTTTTTCCTTTTTAATTTAAATTTTTTGGGTTTAGTTTTTATCATAAACTGTTTATGGTCTCTTCCCCAATGATGGGATTTTTTGTGGTTATTGTGGTCCATTCTCGCAAAATTATGTTTATTTTGAGGAATAATTATGGTTTTTTGAAATCGGTGGTTGACTAACTTTGCTCTATCAAAAATAGAAAGAAATGTTTAGCAAATTTTGTTTGGTAACTTTTTAAGATTCACATATTAATCCCATTTAGATCACACCATTATGATATGGTGAATGATTCACATGTTTACCTCTGTTTTTTAGAGGATTAACTTTTTAGCAAACCTCCAAAAAAATTTGAGAGATCCATTGTATACAATAGTTTAAGGGTTTAAAATGATTCAAATCTGAGTCTTTGATGTTGTTTGCTCTTTGACTGGAGTTTGGTTAAATGTCAATTCAAGAGATCCTTGTTAAGACTCTAACTGTTCTGTTCTGTCTTTCTTTTGATCTGAGTTTGGTTATGAATCTCTGTTTTTATTTTTGATGAAACTGATGAGTGAGTTTTCTTGTTTTCTCTGACATTCAGTAACGAAATGCAACAGAGCAGAGATTGCATTGTCTCTGCTCCGGAAGAACAAACATGGATTCGATATAGTGATCAGCGATGTTCATATGCCTGACATGGATGGATTCAAGCTCCTTGAACATGTTGGTCTTGAGATGGACTTACCTGTTATCAGTAAGTTCTTTTAAAGTTTGGATCTTTTTTTAGATTCTTGAACAATTATGGTTTCAGTTTCTGATCTTGTTTTTCTGGAATTTGTTAATTCAGTGATGTCTGCGGATGATTCAAAGAGTGTTGTTCTAAAGGGAGTGACGCACGGTGCGGTTGACTACTTAATCAAACCGGTACGTATGGAGGCACTTAAGAACATATGGCAGCATGTGGTTCGGAAGAGGAGGACCGAGTGGAACGTACCGGAACATTCTGGGAGCATTGAGGATACTGGCGAGAGACAGCAGCAACAACATAGAGGAGTTAGTGGTGCAGCTGTTTCTGGTGGGGAGGATGGCGCGGATGATAACTCGTCCTCGGTTAACGAAGGGAACAACTGGAGGAGTAGCTCACGGAAGCGGAAAGACGAGGAAGGGGAAGATCAAGGGGACGATAAGGAAGAAGATGCGTCGAATCTGAAGAAACCGCGTGTTGTTTGGTCTGTTGAGTTGCATCAGCAGTTTGTCGCTGCTGTTAATCAGCTCGGCGTTGAAAGTAAGACTAAAGCTTCTTACATTTGCATTTGTGTCTATGTTTAGGGTCGAATTGTCTAATTGATTTTCTATGGTGTGCAGAGGCGGTTCCTAAGAAGATCTTAGAGCTGATGAATGTTCCTGGGCTAACCCGAGAAAACGTAGCCAGTCACCTCCAGGTATAAACCTTATACCGCATAATGGAATGAGCAATTGAATTGCATATATGTTCTTACTGACGTTGTGTGGTTATTTGCAGAAATACCGGATATATCTAAGACGGCTTGGGGGAGTATCGCAGCACCAAGGCAATCTAAACAACTCGTTTATGACGGGTCAAGACGCGAGTTTTGGTCCTCTTTCGACATTGAATGGGTTTGATCTTCAAGCGCTAGCTGTCACGGGTCAGCTTCCTGCTCAGAGCCTTGCACAGCTTCAAGCCGCTGGTTTAGGCCGGCCTGCGATGGTCTCTAAGTCGGGATTGCCGGTTTCCTCCATTGTGGACGAGAGAAGCATCTTTAGCTTTGACAATCCGAAAACGAGATATGGAGATGGGCTTGGTCATCACGGGCAACAACACCAACCGCAACAGCAGATGAACTTGCTCCATGGTATCCCGACAGGTATGGAACCAAGACAACTCGCGGGTTTACAACAACAGATCCCTATGGGTAATCGAATGAGCATACAACAACAGATTGCCGCTGTTCGAGCTGGACATAGCACACAAAACAGCGGAATGCTGATGCCACTAGCGGGTCAGCAGCCATTGCCCCGGGGACCACCGCCAATGATACCGTCGTCACAAGCATCCATCAGGCAGCCGATGTTATCAAACCGCATTTCGGAGAGAAGCGGTTTCTCTGGAAGGAACAGTATCCCTGAGAGCAGCCGAGTGTTGCCGACAAGTTACACCAATCTCGCAACCCAACACTCATCAAGCTCGATGGCCTACAACAACTTCCAACAGGAACTCCCCGTGAACAGCTTCCCGCTACCGAGTGCGCCAGGCTTATCGGTTCCGGTTCCGGTTCGGAAAGTCCCTTCTTACCAGGAAGAGGTTAACAGCTCCGAAGCGGGTTTCTCTAACCCAAGCTACGAGATGTTGACCAACAGACAGAACGATTGGGATCTGCGGAGTATCGGAATAGCCTTTGATGCGCATCAGGACGCAGAATCCGTAGCCTTTTCCAATTCAGAAGCCTACTCTTCTTCGTCTATGTCAAGAAACAACACAGCGATTGCAGCCACCGAGCACGGCCGGAACCAGCAGCAGCCACCGCTTCTGCACCATCAGGTTTATGCGGACGGAGGCAACAGTTCAGTGAGGGTGAAATCGGAGAGAGTGTCGGCGGATTCAGCGGCAATGGCGTTCCACGGGCAGTATAGTAATCAAGAAGATCTTATGAGCGCACTTCTTAAGCAGGTTTGATTTGATTTTTTTTTTGTTTTCTCTTATATAGAAGCATAATCACTTTTAGAGTTTGCGTTTCAAAATCAAATATAAAACAGCTTTCAGACGCTCTCACTATTGGTCGCGGGTCTTTCATAATCACGCAAAACTCAAAGAAAATCCTAGTGAAAATGAAACATTTATACGAGAGAAAACCAAATTTAGAATTTTTTAATCAGAAGGTAATATAATAAGTCAACTTTTAATCAATATTTTGGGTTATTTTTCTTATACTAATGTTTTATTATTATGCATCCCAAATTTCAAGAAACAACAAGCAAGTTGTAATTGAAACGTTGACTTGAGAGAGAACTTGAACCACAATCTTGTGTTGATACAGGAAGGGATTGCACCGGTTGATACTGAATTCGACTTTGATGCATACTCGATCGATAATATTCCGGTTTGATCCGACGAAAAGCTGATAAACCGAAGGGACTATCGGGATTTGTATTGTAACATCACTACACGACCATCTATAACCTCGTTGGTGAAAAATTTGTTTAATATATAATCTGCATGTAATTTTAAAAGGCAGATTGTATCAGAAATTTATAATGATTTTCTTTTCATGGTAGGAGTTCATACGCTAATTTCTTTGGAAAATTCTTTTGGTCACTGTTTAGGGTTTTGATGTTGTAACTTGCTATAATAATAAGACATCTCATAGTATTAGTTGCTGGTTTGTCTGCTTTAAGGTTCTGAATTTGTAACAAAAAAGATCTCTGTAAATATTTTGATATGTATCTGTTTTTAACGAATTTCTTTTAAGTATTCATATGGAACCACAAGGGTTCTGTATATATACCATTTACCAAAATCTAACCATAAGAAATTCAAGAATCACACGCTGCACAAAGCACCAACTACTAGTTGTGTAAACATATCTGGTTAGAAAGAATCAAGAAAAAAAACTGTATATTTTCCGGTTACTCAATCACCGGAACTCTTAAACCCAAAGAATCAAGAAAGCCAAAAACGGTAATACCATGAGAAGCAAGGTGGAGATGTGTCTCTTGTGACCATTGTTCGTGGGTAATGCAGAAGGAAGTGAACATTCCTGACCGTTGAAGAACACTTTGGTCGGAAAACCATCTCCGGAACCAACTTTGATTCCCGGAGTTAGTTTCTTGGTAAAGGAGATAACAGACTGCTGTTTACCGGGTACTCGAAAGTCCTTGCTCGGGTTTTTTCCATCTCTCTCTCCAACGAGATAGTTCAGTCCAGGAAGCCCTTCCATTAAAACAGTGTTGTTCTTTCCATTGATCTCGATGGTGGTTCCGTTGAAGGAGTAAGCTTTCTCAAAACCTGGTCCTGCGTTTTTCATTTCAACCGCTGTAAACCAATCCGGGAAATCGGTTTCCCCCCAGTTGAAGAGTGTAATTCGAGCAGTCCATCCGCCTCGATAGTCTGTTGCTAGATGCCAATTAATGCTGACTCCACAGTTATCTCCACAAGGCAATGGGTCAGGGAGTTTCCAGTGTTTTACGTCTGCCCAAGCAGTGGTAAGTTTGGTTCGGTTCTCAAACGGAATAAGAAGAGCCTGTTGCGGAAGTAGAAGAGCTGGAGAAGTTGTGCTGCAAGTGCGAGCCACTCTGTTGCTAGAACAACCTCCGCAAGCGCAGGTTTTACACGGGATGATCGATTCGTTGAAGTAAGAAGAGAATGATACACAGCAACTAGGAGTAGCTGGTTGAGTGATGTTGCAGACGACTTGCCAGCTAGCAAACGCGGTCCAGTTTGAAGGCAAACCGCTCGGATCAGGGAACTGGCTCGGGCTGACTCGAACAGGAGGGCCACATTTGTACTCCGGGTTAAGGTTACCTCTAATCTGCCAGCTCTGAGGAGGTGAGATAGCGGAGATGTTAAGATTCGGAGGCATTTTGTGCACTTCCATTTGAAAAACCGATTTCGACTTGCTTGGATCCATCGAAGGTGGCAGAATCGTTCCGTTTCTGCAGCAAAATGGTTTAAGACCAAGAGTGGAATCGTTATACTTATTCAGAGGGAGGTCTATGATGGTTGGTCTTCGCGCACAGCTCAAGACACTGGAGAAGTCGAAATCTTGATAGTATTTTCCTTGCGGACCATCAATGCAATCCGATGAATCGACAACATTCGGATAAGCTCCTTTTGTATAGGAGATAAACTCATCTTTCATCCAGAGAAAACTTAGTTTCCAATTGTCAAGCCGACCAAGCGGGTGATGATTCTCGATCGTGACCTGCGCCAAGTACTTCGATTTATATGCTTTGGTCACATCGTACATTATGGTTAGATCTCCTTCTTGCCTAGGAATGAACTTTTCACCTAGAGGAACAGTTTTATTGTTCGGATCCGGCGTACAACATACTTGCAGAACATTTGTACCTTAAAAGAACAGAGAAAGATAGAAATGTCAGTCTAACACATAGGAAACATTTATCCTCACAAGCAATCTTTTAAAAGCACAACACAAACAAGATTCCTACCAAATTGCAAACTCGACTGTTACTAACTACAAGTTGAGTTTAAATTACAAATGTTTAATCCTCACTGGTCAATCATAAAAGCCAAGCAAGTACCATTCCCCAAAGTAGCTGAATTGCTATTAAAGACTAATTCAAACTTTCAATATACAAGAAACAGACTTTTTCAACAAGTGATTAAAATATCAAATAGAGAACTAATCAATGTGATTGTTGCTTCATTTCTCTACTCTTTTCTAATGCTTTCGTAATGAAATTAGCAAACCTAAGATGACACAACAGACCAAAAACATTCAAAAAGCAACAATTTCATAAGATAAACCAAACTTGGAATTGCAAAAGTAAATCAAACTCAATTTATAGAGAGACCATACAAAATTCAGACAAAAGTTGTTACCTTTTTGAGTGGATTTAGGACATAACCATCCCTCATTAAGAAGAGTGATGTTCTTAGGAAGAGGTATATTCGGTGGAGCAACACCAAACTGAGTACCCACGAGCTCAACACGTGCTTGCATCTGAGTGACGTCACCCGCCGTCATAATCGCCGACTTCAAATCCGCCGACGGATATCCGGCGAAGGTCGTCCCGTTCTCGACGCTAACCGGAAAGCTAGAACCCTCGGCGAGCACGGCGTTTGTGGCTGAAACAAGAATCTCACGGTGGGAGAATCCAACGAAGACACTCCACGACTTAAGCTCGTCGCGACCGTTGTTAAGCACCGTGATCTCTGACTCGAACCGGTACGGCTGGTTCTTAGTGTCGTTCGGTTTGATTTTTGAACCGGTCTTGTAAGTGTATGAGACGAATACGCCGTTACAGAGATCGGCGTCTGGAGAGAGTGGTGGTGGAGCGTTTGGCTGAGACGACGATAGTGGAATCGCCGTGAAGAGAGATAACAGTAGGAACCATGGAATCATTTTTGGAGTTAAACCCATGAGAATTCCAAGTCTCTTTACTCGCAAAAACTTGTTTTTCTTTTTTTGGGTTTGGGAATTGAAAAGGAAGAAAAAATCGGAGCTTTGTTTTTTTGATGAGAGGAAGAGACCGCGTTAAATTGCAGAACAGCTTAGTAGACGCTGTAATAATGAAATTATGTGCGTGTTCAAATTGCGTGGAATATTGCTTATTTTGGGTCGCATTTTTAGAATTTTTATTAATTTTCTTTTTAAGTGTTTTTCTTGTCGAAGTAAACAAAGGTTATTATAAACACAAGCCAAAACCAAAGGATTGTCTTTTTAACAAATTATAAAAAGAGACTGGAAAAATGTTTATACAATTACAAAATTAAGCAAGTAATTCGATTTAATCCAAAGTGCAACCCCAATTTATATCGTGTAGTAAACACATAAATGTCTTTAACCCAAACAGCGTTAACTAAATCGAACATATGTAGTTTATGGAATATTTTGTAAAAGATTTACATATTTTGAAAATGAGTGATATAATAGGTTAGATGTATTTGTGAAGATTTGACATTTACTTTGATATTAATTTCGTGAAGAAGAAAAAGGAAAGTGTGTCTCCAAGTTTAGGAAATGGTAATTGATTCGATATTTAATGTAATTTTCGTACAAGTAAAGAAAAACTATGAGAATATTTACGGAATGCGTGTATAAAAAAATCAAGAAGTAATGGTCCTAAAATAAATTGGCTGCATAATATGAGGGTGAAAGCAGAAAAGAGCAGCTTTGGTCAAAGAAGAAAGTCCCGTTGAGCCAAGTCAGGGGTCCACTCACTTGCCCCAAATATTTGAATTGTTCTCGGCTTTACGGCTTTACCTAGGCTATATCCACCACCATGGTGTCCATTTAATTTATTAATTATTTTCTCCTCACCACTTTTTGATTTATAACAATAATTCTTGACTTTGCATATACATCATATTCTAATTTTGTTGCTCCATCATTAATAATTATATGATGGCTAATTTAAGGTTGAATCATATTTATATTAAAAAATAAAAAACCAATTGGTTCGGAGACTACTTTTGGTAGAGTTGCAAATAGGCACGCTAATTCAACTTGTTTGGGTAGTTCGGTTAGTCAGATAATTTGGTTCAGAAATTAATAATTATTTGGTTTGGTTCGAATATTGGATAATTACATATTTCGAAATTTTTATCGAATTAAATGAAA